TTAATTATTCCTGTGCTGAGATTAAAGCGTAAATGTTGGTAGATGTTGAATTAGGAAAATTAGAAAGCTGGTAGGTGTGGTGATATCATCGGTGCAGCATTTTCATGTTTTAATCGTGCTTAAACATATGAAGTTGACAGTCATGGCAATGGAGAGACATAACATGCGAGTGTGTCACACGGAGCACTTCTAAAACAATGTACATGTATATCATTAAAGTGCATAAACATAGACTTGTAAAAGTCCTATCACAACAGTAGGAAGATGAGTGACTGGCAAAATAAACGTCTATTTTATACTGGTACTATGGTTCAAAATACCGATACTGGCGTGGAAGTGTAAGCGGAATTAATAACAAACCAGGAGATAATATACACTGTACGCAGTTCATAAGACCCTCAGCACCACTTACAGAATCAGATCTATGACCAGGGTATTGGACAATTTCAATTTATTTTTCATTATTGCAGCCGTGCCAATGCCAATCACGGGTGCTGTTAATCAAAGACATTTCTCTCTAGGTTGGAGACGTTAAAAATCACAAATAGGTTTTACCAATAATCAATTGTAATCGGTGATGTACACGTTGCATGTAATTTCACCAAGTCGAGCATTTCCCATACCTACCAGTTGATCGATAGTGATCGGTGATCGATAGTTGTTTTTATTTCTGTTGAAGAGCGCCCTCGCACAACTAGTTTTTACTGAGTGGCCGAGTTCGGGCGACTTGTTCCCGTATGTTCACGAACAGCTCGATTTGTTGTTCGTGGGTCGGCCGCTCAAACGCCGGGAACAAACAACCGGTTATCGATGGTAGTTAGTGACAAGCAACATGCAACTGGCGGCGTCCATGCAGGCTACGTTATTCGAGAGTCAACGTTTGGATGGGCAGAATTCTTTTCTGTACAAACAGGAACATTCATTTCTGTGTTCCGGAAAATAATTAATGTTAATTTTGCAAAACTTCCCATTGTCCATGCCTTTAGAAGCCATCTCTCTACTTTTTGCAGCTCTTCAAAAATCAAAATCTCACGAGTTTTTCCGTGTGTTCCTGTAAAACCCAGACGAGGAGATGGTGTGTGATCCTGTTCCAAGAACAGTGTTCTTGAGTCGTGTTCCCGCCGTTCGAGCGCGAGAACAAGAAACCCGTGTCAAGAACAGGCCGCCCGAACTCGACCAGTGCGAGCTGGCGCAAAGTCTAATTATGAGTCGATGGGGTGCACGGTGTCCGCTACCAAGCACTAACGTCGTGAAACCAAGACTAACACTTCCGTAGTTTAGTCAATAGCTGGGCCAATTATCTGCAATGTTCCATTGAGCACAAACGTCATTCGCCGTACTTGTTCAAAGTATTGGAGTGAGTGCAAGACCTGTGTAAACGGCGACTTACCGCAAATGAATTACTATGAATTGCAGCTAAAATCACTTTAGGGCCATAAATACGGGAGATTCACTATACCGCTGCTCCAAGAATATGCACCACATTGGCCAATCACGATGCACGAAATCTTTCCCTTTCCAAACGCGCATTAGGTCGACAGATTTCGAGCGTTGTGATTGGCCAACGCGTAGCAAACTCTTGGAGGCGCACTTTTGTGAATCGCCCGTATGCACTACACCCCAATACGCGCCCATAGACAACATTGCAAATTTTAGACCGAAATAGCGCCACCTGTTGACTCTCTATAAAGAGGTGAAAGCTCAGTCGACAGTCGTCTGTGAGTAAATTAGGCTGAGTTCGGGCGGCTTCAAAGTTGTTCTCGTATGTTCAGGAACAGCTCGAATCGTTGTTTGTGGGTCGGCCGCTCGAACGATGGGAACGTACCGCCGGTTATTATCCCTACTAGTTACTTGTAGCATGCAAGCAACATGCAACATGGCGGCGTCCTTGTACATTCTTGGAAAGTTAATGTTTGAGCAAACTTCTTTTCCATTAAAAAATCATATCTTTCATTGAAAATTTTTGATGTTAATTGTGCAAAAGTTTCCATTGTGTCCAGTTTTGTAAGCCATCTTCTAAGTTTTTGCAGCTTTTCAAAAATCAAATCTCACGAGTTTTCCCATGTGTTCGTGTAAAACCCTGACGAGGAGGTGGTGTGTGAACCTGTTCCGAGAACAGTGTTCTTGGGGCATGTTCCCGCCGTTAGAGCGCAAGAACAAAAAACCCGTGTCAAGAACAGGCCGCCTGAACTCGACCTTCCTATAAGAACATCCTTTTTTTCTCATTACCTGAGAGTTTGTTCTTCTCGAATACCCAACTGGCCCTTGTGCTTTTTTTTAGCATTTTTTTTTGGGGGGGGGGATCTTTTGCTTCAATCATTTTTCCCTAGATTCATATCCATATTGCTGTTTCATTTGCTTATTTTGAAACACCACTCATTGAAATCAGTTAAGTTTGATTCTTTTTTTTATGTTTGTCGTCTTTGCAGTTTTTAATTATTTTCTTATTTCATTCCCGATCAGTTGCTTTTTCATTATAATCGTTTTCATTAAAGATATTTTTTACCCAAGCTTCAGCTTTTTGAATGTGCCCACACTCTGCTACTTTTAACATTACTTTCCTTCGTTTAAAGGAACCAGCAAATAGAACTATTTTCACAAATTTTACTAAAAACCCTCGAAATTGCGTCTTTGGGTTTCAATTAACCTGATTTTAAATTTTTGTTTTGCAATTTTAACCCGTATTTTTATGCTTTTTTTATGCTAATGCATTTTCCATATTCATGAGCAGAACTATGATGTCAACCAAGGCACTGAATCTCAAAGTTACACAGAAAATTTCCAGATTTTTTTAACCACTCCTCCGGCAGATTTTATTTTCTGTGACAATTTATTACTGTGTAAGTATATGGCACTAATCCAGGAAAGAACCTTTTCACAGAAATGTTCCCAGATAGCAAATTTGGGATTCACAATTTGAACAGAAAACATGCTACTTGAACCATGTCTTCGTGGATTTACATCAAAGCAAAAGCGCCCTCACTTGTCCAGAAATGCTTGGCAATTGTTCCCAAATAGTATTCATATGGAAGAAGGGTACAGAGATACACAAAAAGGGATTCTTTAAGTAGGAGTTTTGATATTTCGCTCCTAATGTCTATAATTTAATTTTGTATATATTCAGAGTGAGAAATAAATGTGAATGAATGAATTTGGCCTCCGTTTTTTCACTGGAAATTCAGATCATGGCCTATTTACTCAGCTTCTCCGGCGATAGGGGCCGGGTTGGCCACGCGTTTTTTTTCATAAGTTCGCCTATCCCCCTAAATAGTGGTACACCTACGCGCTCAGCTCTGAATGTAGTCGCCCACCTGTATCCAAAATAGACCCGCAGGTTGGTTTTTTTTTTTTTTTGAAAGAAATACCCCGAACTGGAAACTGCCAAGCCAGGATTCGGGATTTGTAGAAATACCTCTATGATCCCTCCTGATTATGACATGTCTTATCGTAGAAAAACCATGGGGATCACAAAATATGAATGAGCTGCTCGTGCGCAGAAATCCAAAGATTTAGTCAGTGGAATGCACCCTTCAGCAATCGCTTTAAATAACCTCTTTGACCTTTGGAGGGTGTGGGATTATTCGGGCAATTCCACATGGCAACAAGACAAACACAAGACACAGCGGGCCGCCCAGCCGGAGTACATAAAAGTTTAAACTGTCGCCAAAGGCGTATGTCTCCCAAACCCAAATAGAAAAGCAAGGCAAGAGAAACACAAATCATATACTCACTAAGATAAAATTATGTAATTGGGTTAAAAAAGGAAGAACCCAGCCAGCAAAGTTATCCTTTAGCTCATTAAAAACTAACGAAGAGGGGCGCATATAAGATTATTAGCCAATTCACCAGGCAAGGTGCCCCAAATACAAGTTCTTCACTGACGCTTTGGTACAAGCGGAAGAGAAGTGAAATTGTTTCGGAAACGCCCTTTTCTCATTCTCAAAAATGTATTTCTTATGTATACTTAGGCCCACCCGGGAAGGGGATTCAGGTGCTATCCCAGATTTTCTTTCGGGAGGATCAGGCTGGGGATTTTTGTTATGTCTCATTTTTGTGGACTATCGTCTGACCCAGTCACGGTACCGATAAGAATCTGCGAATACTACTAGGCTTATTTTTTAAATTCACTTTAGCTCTTTTTATGTTATTTTCCCATTCTAAGATTTTTTTGTCTCAGACCGTGTGTGTGTGTGTGTGGGGGGGGACCCCCGGATCAGCGCTTGGAATTAATCTGTTGGCTGCATAGGACAAGTTATCAGGATGCATGACTGTTTAAGGCAAAGACATGGCAATTAATGAATACTTTAGGAAAGCTGATGAAAAACAGTGTATGATGCAACTGCGCTGAACTTGTAGGCTACAAGTTCACTGATTTCTCACCACTGGTTTCAGGAACCAATGGAGGCATTCCTCCGTTCTTCACGGGCAACAAGCAAAAATGGGCTAACCCGTAGGCTTTTTTGTGGGGAAAAGGCAAGCTTTAGTCGCCTTGACCCGTACCCGCGAGCTCTGCCGTGAACTATGATGCCTTTACCGCAGCGCGCCATATTGAAAAACCAATGGGCTTGAACTTTTGCACTGTGTGCTGTATGTTTCATTGGTCGCGCAACACTCAGGAAGCACGTGCATACCGCGTGCTATGTGGTCTGACCTATATTTTCAAATTAGACTTGCATCCATCTTTTTACTGAAAAAGTGAAAAACAAGTGACTAATTGTCCGATTTAAACAGTACACAAATCCAAACGCACCATGAAAAAAGCACATAATGCAAGTAATAGACGAATTCATACCACCACCATGTAAATTCACCCAGTAACAGATTATCATATCATATGTTAATTGTCGTAAACAGAATAGGAAATGATTTGATGAAGTTAAGGTGTTATGAAAAAACCAGATGTGATCATTCCCAGAAGAACCCATTGACAATAAAGGGGGATTTGAAACCAGGCTACGGGAACCAGACTAAAATTTCTGCTGATTCACTAGCATAGCATTGTATGCTGATGTAATGTACATGTACACATTATGCATATGTGCGTACATCGATAGAGCGTCGCGATTGCTTGCTCTGTCCTTACCTTACCTGGGGTGTTCCCCTCGAATTGTCGAAAATGATTGCAATTCATTCCCCGAAAATTTGTCATTTATGGAACTTATCTTGCCGGTCATTCGCCTGTTCTGACCGACGAGACTGGCTCAAACTACGATCCCTCCGAGAACTGGGTTGGTGAAAGTAGAATTGTCTCACGGGTGAGTTTGTGTGGCACGATTGTGTTATGTGTCGACTGCGATACGTCATGGAGCACTCGACCAGGGCGAGCGTCCATGGGGCCGCCGAGAACGTTCAGCTGGCAAAGGCTGTGCTCTCCCGAAAGCAGCTGTTGGAATTCCCCGAAGACGAGTTCAGCGGCCAGGAACAGAAAGTGAACATCATCGATCTCAGTCGGAATTCCCTCTCCTGTCTACCAAAGTCCATCAGCTTGTACACCAATATGATCGAACTGGACATCAGCAACAACAGGATATCGCGAATTCCTGACGAAATAGTTGCACTTAAGAGTCTGCGCTCATTGATCTGTAAAAACAACCGTTTGGACACTGGTTCAATACCGAAGGACTTTGGGAAATGTGTCTCCTTAGAAGTGGTGAATTTCAGTGGCAACACCATGTTAGATTTTCCAATGCAACTCACAGAAATTGGAACACTGAAGTCCGTTTACCTTGGTGGAAACAGAATTCGCCAATTACCACCAGAAATACAAAATTTGCAGAGGTTAGTTTACATATTTTCATGCTGTAGACACCAATGACGAAACGATTTCAAAGTGAGGGGGGGCAGTTGTGAGACCATCAGGCATCAGCCATTTACATGATTAATAATAAGAGGCCGGTCCAGTAAGCCCCACCCCAGGAACTGCCGGGGGGAGGGGGGAACTGGACCCCCTGCTTCAACTGCTAGTGGCTGTAGTTCTGGGACTGTGCTTAAAGTAAAGGCTTGATTGATCTAATCGGGTCTTCAGGCCTACACATCACTTATCATGGAATTTGTCATGTTTTAGGTGTTTAGATCTGAAAGGTTCCTTCTGCTTATCTGGCACACAATTTTACTTTATGATCAATATAATAATAGCTTCTCACATTTAGGAGTATCTCTAGCCACGATTTAGCAAGATTTAAGAGATGAACAACTCAACAAGACTTAAACCTGTCAAAAACTTCTATTCCATTTAAACTGTTTAATGAATAATTTACTTTTAAAACAGTTGTAAAATTTCTGTTGCTTTTCATTTGAATCTGCTTGAAACAAGCATCCATAGTATAATGTTTCTCATTTGAAACAAAAGAAAGTTTTCCCATACTTTTCATGAATTTTGTATTTGAATATTCATATTCGGAAAATATTTGAATATTCAACAATCAATTGAATATTAGGATATTTGGCACAGGGGATGTATTCAAATGAGAAATGAGATGTATCAGGTTGGATTCATTTACACTATGACCGACGTCCAGGGTATGAAAGTCCTCCTACAATGCAAAATTTTTTTTCAATATTTTTTTCTCACATTTTTACCTGGCGAAGACAGCTCAAATGTCATTCACAAGTGCCTTGTACCTGGAATTCCATAAACGTTGTGTTGAAATTTCTAAATACATGTACGTGATGTTGCCTTATTACGAGTGAATGGAAAATACATGTACATGTACAGTATACCGGTACATGTGGAAAATATTGAGAAAGCATGTTGATTACATGTACATGTCTTTTGATCCTAGCCCACTGGGAAAAAGAAAGACCTATTTAAGGAGACATTCTCTCTTTTAGAGAGAATTGGTTTTGTCTCCAAAGAAAAGGACTTCTCTGAATTTGAGGATAGTTTCCAAGTTCGTACGTGTGCCTCTGCTGTACATGTATATGTACATGTGCAGTGTACTTTCTCAGGGGCAGATCCAGTATTTTCAGAATGGGGGTGTAACCCCCCCCCCTAATCTGTCTCTGATTCTTGGAAGAAAATGTGACATACAGTCAAACCTTGTTAATAAGAGCATTGTCCATATATCTTGATAATCTAAGGCTCCTGTTTATAGCAAGGTAATTTGCCGTGTCTGAAGGACCTTTATTAACAAGGTTCGACTGTAAATGTACATGTACCGATATGTCACGTATGTTCGGTCCCCATAGACTGTGCGTGCATTTAGTTTATGAATTCGTGCATGCGCAACAGCAACATATGGTCGTCTGCCTGAAAACTGATATGGTTGCAGATGACACATATCGGTGAGGGTTTTGTCCTGCCATTGCCCTTGAAGACCTCGCGTGTGAATAAATTACCAAGAATCTATCAAATGGTGATATATAATAGCTTCTGGTAAGAAAGATCTCCAGAAACTAATCAAAGAAATGGACAACATCAAGTTTATGACAAAGAATAATTATGAAAAATTATCGTTTTTAAGCTAACTTTGTGTCAAATTTTCACAATTTTGCCGGGTTTACCTTCAAATAACTTTGATGCCACATGACAGAGTAGTAACTCTTATGATCAAAACAGTTTATTTCTTCTAGGTAGGAAACCTTTTTTGAACTTTACTTGGTTTTCATTGGGACCCATTTTTGTTATTTTCCATTTTTTCACCTTACATGTACTTAAGTGCCCAGTTTTCACACTTTTGTCAAGTTCCCCTCTCGTCACCGGTGATACTGTCTGGAAGACTGAGGAATCATCTGTATTTATTTCTTCAAGATAGAGCCATTTGTCTGAAATGCAGTTCGTTTTTCATGTGGATTCAAATTTCCGCACTGAGTCCGACATGACCAGACAGTGGTCAAAAATGAGATGTCCGGATTTGGGCATGGCACACATGCACACACACCTGGGGACGAGTGCATTTCGGTATGAGTTGACTTTACTGCATTGCCACTAATACGTACGACAATGTCAAATTGCCCAACTAAAAGACCCAAACGAAAACTTTCCGTTCTCATCCATACAGTTTCCTTCTTGCATGATACATGTACTTTCTCATTAGAGCATCCATGATATTCCTCACTATTCACAAGTGCAGAAATGTCAGGGAAACCTTGGCAAAACTGGAAAAAAAAACATCTAAAATTCTGGCTTCACTTCCAACTTCTGACTCTGTACATAAGAAAGACGGGCAAAAAGTGGGCAGAAAAAGGATTTCTATCGTGTGCAAGTTATCAAAAGGGACTCACAGTGTTTGAATACTAATCGGTATGGAAATAAGGGGCAGACAATTTTTTCTGAGCTTGAGGTTGATCGATTACTTTTGGGGTTCACCTGTCTGAGTCAAGAGCCATTTTACTGGCTTCTGGCTGTAGTGGGATTCATTACGCATGCTGGAGCTGGCGAGGGGCATGAACATACGCAATGTACTGGCATAGTGGCGTCACATGGAGTGCGTGATGTGTGAATGCAGCTGGACATTTCTGGCTTTCCGATGGGGCCAGTCACAACCCCCTTGAACATTTTCCACATCCACTTTGGAGTCACTTGTGCAACTCCTTGTGAAGTGTCACTCCTGGGGAGCATTTTAAGAACTCCACCGACAGCGTATTCTGTTGGGGGGGTCTTTGAGATGATTTGCTGGAGGGACTATTGTGAAAAGGACTTCATCTTCACTTCAAGTTTTCAAGAGTGATCCCCTGCTGTCTGATTTTTGAGTTACGCATACCGGTACGTGTAGATTTGAAGGTTGTTTTGATGGGAAACTGCACAAATCATCTGCACAAATCAGGAGAAACCAGAAACTTTGTATGCACTACAAGATGAAATACGGATTGGTTGACGTTAACCTAGATGAGTTCGTTCAGCCTAACACAAGGAAAATTAGGGGGAATGATAAAAAATTTCTACAAATTTGTCATAAGTCTAAAGCATTCCAGGACTCATTTTTTTGTTTCCACTATAAAAGACTGGAACAATCTACCCGCTCTCGTTGTAAATAGTTCTTCACTAGATGTATTCAAATCCAGGCTGAAGCAGCACCGCTAAAATGATTTGGTCTAGTCATTCCACACGCAGTGCACTTCTCAGAAGTTAGCGTGGATGTGTTCGGAGGACATTTTGCTGACCAAACCATTCAGATTCAGATGCCAAAGTTCACCACCTGTATATGTAGGAACCCAGATTCATTGCTCAACTCCAAGGAATTGAATTACCACCTTTACCCCTACATGTGGTAATTCAATACATGTAGTTACAAAGCGGATGTTCATGTACATGGATAATTCCAGATATTAGGGGGCCCTTTTTTTCTGTGTCAATGTTACATCTGACATATGATTTTGTACATGTAAGGTCAGAACACATTTTCTAATTTCCAAGAGT